GGCGAGATGGTCGTTGATTCAACGTTGACCAAACACCACCCGTGGGGCTAGTTCAATCCGGGCTTTTGCCGCCGACAACTAGGAATGAAGCAGACAGGAAGTGCCCGGCTTGATACAAAATTCACAGTCTTTCACCAGTCGCTGGTAGGGCTGTATCAGTTATTGCTCCTGGCCAGCCAAATGCTTTCGAATTAAGAAATATAGCGCTTGAATTTATGTAGCCGTTGAAGCTGCGAGACATGTTTCAACGCTGCTTGAACAACTGTTTGGCTACTGACATATTCATCAGCATGGGAATAGGGTTGCTCAACGGCCGCAAATACAAATAGCCATCAACACTCAAATAAACGACTGCGCTGAGACCCGTACCCTGTCGTAACACTAACAAGGTGACTACGTGTCTCTAGGTGGGCTATAAGAGAGGCTATCATCCGGTACAGACTAAACTAGTCTGAATTTAATTCTTTGCCCAACACGAAATGGATGCTCCAAGGAACGTACCGGACCAAAATAATGGAGATCACCAGCCGTCTGGACTGCCAATTCAGGTTGATAAAGACCACCCAAAGGATGCTTCTGATCCCAATCCACGACAGGTAAGTGGTGCATCCCATACAGTATCAGATCTTGTGGCTGACTGCTGGCATTCTCCCTCCCGCAGCTGAAAACCGACCAGAACGAACCCCTGACGATTGAGCACTTTCAACCCATCTTGGCGACACTAGCAAATCTCGATCGCGACGATCCGAAACTCGCATTTCAAGCGGCTCGATCCGTGGGGCTCTATCGACGTCTATGGGCATCATGTGTGCCTAGGCACCTCAATGGCGAGGATGTCGACCAGAAGAGTCAACTTTCGAAGGAGGCTAGCATTAACCCGAGCAAAGAGAGGAATGGACCTCAGCTTCCTCATGATGAGCAGCGATTACGACTGCTTTCCTTTGAGCAGGCTTTGGAATCGTCTTGGGAACGGATGACTGTCGTGCTCAATGGCTGGAACCAATGCTCGAAAAGTAGTCTGGGCATGTTGGTGGATGTCAAAACAACCGAGTGAGGGGTTGCCAGTGGGAAGTGTGCCATGTATTTCTTTACTGCCATGTAATGAACCAAACAGAGAACAAGTGAAGCCCGTACTCTAACGTAGTGTCAATCCTTTGACGGGGTTTTGTTTTATTTAGAGAATGTTGTACAAAGCACATTGCCATTACGTGACTATTGACGACCTTGCGGACGTCGTTCAGAAAACAATGGAAACACAAGTACAGTCACATGAGTGCGTCACATTCATTTGTAGTTTTCCAGGAGATTATGTACAAAGAACGATGGATCCAGGGATGGCGTCGTGGGAAGTGTCGCGGGTAGTGTCGCTAGCGGGGACAGAGTAGAGTGACCAGAATACGGTAGAGGTTCTGTGCGCGGCCACAAAGACAATCGGAAGGAGGTGGGCATCGTTCCCACAGTGACTAGTGATATGATGTCCAGGATCTGTCCACGTACCCGACGTAGATTCCCCATGGCCGTTTCAACACGGGGCAGGAAGAACAGATGCTCTCCCACCGTCTCGCCCGTTAACTGATGAAACCTTGCAAGCCTCAACTCCACCCAGTAAACCTCCCCAAAAAGAAAGAACGCTGACATGTAAAGAAAAAGGTCATCAGCTTGAGTGGCGAACGACAGAGGATCTGGACCAGTCCACTTGAAGCCCGACTGGTTATCGTTGTTGGGGTGGAAGAAGCATTCGACCAAGGGGGATTCTTGTAGCTCGTGTGCTACAGACTTTAATCCATTCGGAAAGTCTAGCGCAATATCTTCGTGATCTGCGCAAAGACTAGGAGGCGGCGCCGGTATACAAGAGGATTCTCGCCAGATTGTGTGAAGGTCGAGATCGAAGTCGATATCTAGTCTGTTGTGAGCACAGGTACGCGGTGAAATAAAGTTATACGAACCATCTTGACCGGATTTGTCCATCTGCTTCAATTCTTTCCCGGTATAGTCGTTGGGGGAGGATGTGGCAGCTGCGTTTGAACTGGCAGTGAAGGGTTGCTGGAGGTTTAATATAATGGCGGAGGCCAATTATCTTTCAATGTGGCAGACAGTGGACCAGTGAATCAGAAGTCAATTGTTCAAGGAAAGGGAATCGACGAATGTACTAAATTTTCGCGAAGCGTTGATCTTTCACCAGGATGAACGAAACGTCACCGTCGGCCGTCCAAGTTGAGATATCCCCGGTGAGATATACCCGTCTACCGTCCCACAACACCGGCGCTTACTTATTTATGCACTGCAGGGAGAGATCTCTTTCATCTAACAGCCATCTCGTCACTCTTGTAGCTGTCGTTGAGCTTCCTTCGTCGTGTCTTCCAAGTAAAAACGACAAATTATCATTCCAATAGGCACAAGCAAGAGCCGAGAAGCTTTATTGTTGTCACAGGGACGTGGTGTTGTACCGTAGAACTGGCCTTAACTACATCGGAAGGAGACCAGCCGGGATGAAGGGGATCTACTCAGGCTACTTAGTTTCGTTCGTTTGTTATCTGAAAGAATCAGACATTGATTTTCCATCTTGCGCAAAGTTATGGTTGCTGAGGCTTAGCTTCAGATAGGGGGCTAGTAGGTGCTGGAAATCCGAGTGGGCGCCCGTCAAACGACAGCTGGCCACGGAAATCTGGATCGTAGTCGGGGCTCGTCTCGTCGAGGGTGGCAACATAACGGTTGCGACCACCCGGTCTCGCATGTGTCTTCGTACAACGGACTTTGAGGTTGTCGCGGCGAGAAAAGGCACGGTGGCATCCAGGCACCCAGCAGACATAGGGCTTTTCCTTCGAGTGACTCCTTGTATGGCGCTCGAGGTGGTCCTGACGCTTGAAGCCCATTCTGCAGCCAATGATGTTGCACTTGAATTTTCGCTTGTGTATATCAAATTCCTGGTCCTTGGCTTCCGGCTTATGATCAGGTTGCTTGTCATAGACATGACAGTCAGGCAGTGAAAGATCGTTTATGCACGTGCTCTTGTCATGGACTATCTGGGAATGCCCTGGTGGTTGATCAAGAAACCAAGGGGAGATACCGGTATCAGCGGGGATAGGACAGACTTCAGCAGCCGCGCCAAGATTTGCTGTAAAGCTCAAAGGCTCAGGAGTAGTTGTCGAAGTACTTGGAAAAACCAGCGCAGGGTCGATATTCTGCATTGTCGAGAAATCAGCCCCCGGCAGCCGGTCAGCTACATTGGACATTGGGATCGAGTCAATCCGTCGCAAATGACAAAGCCTCAATGGTGGCGGGCAAAGTCTGGAGGTCGGATCAAGGGAGTGGTCTGCTTCCTGAGGAAGATAGACGCAGGGAATGCCATGGTCCCTGAGCAAGATTGGCGTATGATGATGAGAACCCGGGGAACAGTAGTAGACCTGGATGACTCCATGCTCTGCCCGATTGTCACGTTGCAGCGAAGCAGCGTCAGTGCGGTTAGCCTTCCATATGCTGTCATCGAGGTTGGACCAGTTTGGCAGGACCTGTGAGTCCAGATAATAGAAAGGATCGGTCGCTACGGTCGGCGGCTTGGCGGTTGAGAGTATTCTATCATCATGCTGAACATGTAGCTCAGGAAAAGGCTGAGCCGGCAACAACGGGAGAAGAGGTTTTCTATGTTTCCGAGACATATTACCGGCATTGATTGGGTGTGGTCGATGTATTTTCAAGGAGCGTGTAGAGAACCGGCGCTGCGTACAAATTTATTGAGAACGACAGAACTTCTAAGCCCAATTTGTATTGAAAGCAGACAACAATTGACCACGGACATGCAAAGAACGGTAATTGCGCATACGTACTTTGGCATTGGCCATAGTCTTAACATGATCAAGATGCAAGTAAGACGCAGAAAGGTGCGTCAATACAGACTACCTTTATGATGCTCCTAATGCAAATGATGTCAACAGCATCTCAGATATTCCTACAACAAGAGTTGATTCCAAGATTTCTAGCGTTCCATACACAGTAGATTCGAACTCTCTGATCATTATACTGTGCGTGGTCTGATTTCACGTTTCCCTGTAGCTTCGTTGACTCCGGTGAGTTACAATTGAGCCCTCCAATATCGTTTAATTGACTCACCAGTACACTGTCGGTCCATTCATAGGAGCCAAAAATGTCTGCGCCAAATTGGAATTTGCATTCCTAATGTGCTCATTTCATCATGTTGTGATATGGACCTGGGGCAGACTACGAACAAAGCCGCACCATCCGGTTAACACATCCACCTGCCAATATTGACTAAAGTGTCAGATATGTGATGAAGCCTCGCTTTCAACCCACTTATCTGTCGGACTCATGAGCTTCAAACAAGCACTTATATGTGGCGTCACTATTTTGAGTAAATCTTTGATTGACTCACATCAGCTTTCTTTTCACAGTGATTTTGATGAGCCACCAGTGTTGGTTTTGTGTTTTGCTCTATATCTTTTATAAATCAATTGTCTCCCCGGCTTCCAAATTCTTAGACCTCTACGAGGAATTCAATTCGTCAAGTGGTGCTCCAATATAGCGAAGATCAACCGAGCCTTCCACAATTATGATGCTCATTAGATATATTCTACTGTTGGAGGCGATCGTCTTACAGGCGGTCAGCGGACATCTGATCATGGTTTCGCCTGAGCCCTACAGCAAGGAAACCCTCAACAACTCTCCTCTCGCTGAACATGGTAGCGATTTTCCCTGTAAACTACGCACAGATGCATTCTTGGCTCCTTCAACAGAGACTGTCTACCAGATCGGCATTGAAAACATAATCAAGTTCAAAGGAAGCGCGACACACGGTGGCGGCTCATGCCAACTGAGCCTGACCGAAGACCGTGAGCCAACCAAAGATTCTGAATGGAAGGTCATCAAGTCCTATGAAGGAGGCTGCCCCACAAAGGCAGAGAAACTCGCCGGAGACGCCACTGCCGACAATGCCCTTCACCTCGATTTCGCAATCCCCGAGGGCATTAACCCCGGAAAATATACATTAGCCTGGACGTGGTTTAATCGTATTGGGAATCGTGAGATGTATATGAACTGTGCCCCAGTCACCGTGTCTGGTGCCTCGTCGCAACAGTGCCACAAGAGCATACAAAAGCAAACACCTAATTTCCCACCCATGTTTATCGCCAACATAAATGGCTGCGTCACCAAAGAGAACGTGGACATTCGGTTTCCTCAGCCAGGAAGCATTGTGGAACACAATGGCGAAAAGGACCATCTTCTTCGCGAAGGTGAGCCACCATGCACCGGAACACCTACATTCAGTGCCTTGGCAGCCATCAAGTCAACTATTCCTGATCTTACCAAGGGTGTGTTTGGAGAGGCTCTTTCATCTACCACGTCTACCGCTCTTGCCCGCATTCCAACTTCGGTTTCCTCTTGTCGTGCTCCTCGCCGTAATTAGGACTATAGATGATACGTATCGAGCACTCAGGGCGCATATGTATAGGCTGACGTAAAATCAAAGGAGGAAGACCATGGCAAGATGCCTAATCAAATTCAGTGAGAACTTCAATGTCGTTGTTTCTCTTATTCTAATTTGAAAGAATTCAGTCCGAGGTTTAAGATTTGTGATTCGCTCTATTGTACAGTACTTAGAATGACTGGATGAGATTGAAAATCTGGGTATCATATATAAGATCGCTAATTCAACAGATCATAAGAAAATCCCGTTGTCAAGAGATACGAAAACGTTTTGCATCTCCTGCCTCTGTTTGACATAGTCGTCGTCGTTTGGCTGCCCCCGACCGTTGTAAAGCCGGTCGACATTTCAAAGTAGAGCGATGGAAGTCAATGATCAAAGCACGGCCAAGCTCTTCACTCCAAAGGACATTGTCTCGCCGCAGGTCGTCATGTGTTATACCAAGGGCTCTAATTTCCTTGTTCGATTTGTGTATCTCGCGGCGAAGCCACTGCGTCAGCTCCATCGTCGCTGTGCATTCGCCTCCCCAGCCCATTACGAGCATGTGACAAATTTCTCCAGCGCCATGAAGAAAATAGATTTTTGCCAAGTCAATCGTACCCAAGAATACAGGTACAGCGGATCCTTGGGCCTTGCGCAGCACTCGATAAACTTGCGCTTCGCGGGAAACTTCTTCCCATAATCCTGACGTGGTGCCTTTACCGATGACCGTGTAACCATATTCCATGCAGGTAAGTTTGAATGGGGCACCGTATGAGCCGCAATCCCCCAGGGGGATGCAACGATCTATATTCTCGTCCAACTCATTTTTCAGTAAAAGTATCATGTCCCTGGCCGAGATTAAATGCTGAGCCGCGAGGTTCTTGCCCCGGCGGTGATGGCCTACATTGGGACACGACTCATCAAGAACATCCCCGTTCCGCAAACCGAGCAGACATCGTTGCGTGCAGAATTGTGCGGCACGGCGTCGATGATGGTCGTCTTGGTCAGGCCCAGTCGTTTGCTGGCGATTTGATCGTCGAGCGGACGGTGAAGGCGTGACTTGGCTGATCCTCCGCTTATGGCCAGCTGCTTGATCAGCGTCAGAGCCGGACGAGTCCGGTGATTGCGAGCGCGGTCGAATCTCTGAGGGTGCACAAGTGGTTTGAGATCGTGTATGCACTCGACGGCCCTCCGAGGGAGACGGCAGCGGAGACGACGATGGTAGTCCATAGGATGTACCAGACTCCGGACTTGGAAAATCAGGGTTCGTGCTATCGGAGTGGGAGATTTGCTGTAGCTCGCTTCTCGGAATCTGCGAACGCGTGTGATCGAAGTTTGTCTTCCATTTGTGAAGATTTGGGCGCACGCGATTTCTCCATTCTTGCTCACGGATGGGTGAGCGAAATGCCATCAAACAAAGACACAACACCCTCGCAACAGACGACTTCCATAGCTGGACAACCGTATCGCTTTCCGGGTTTACTTCGCTGTGAGGATCACAGAAAAAGTAATAGACCGTGCTAGGCTGGTCACGCGGAACACGGAGGAGAACACGGGTAAGCCCATTTGTCACATATGAATATTCGAGTCCTTCCTGAATCATCACATGGTACTCTTGCACAATGGCGGAGCAGACGAGGCGCTCTGCACTGTGCTTCAACTTTGCTTCCTGGTCGGTAGGGATTTTATTAAATCTGACCATATCATTCCATAGGTCCATTGGTCGAAGTCCCATACGAAAGGTTGCAACAGACAACTTGTGAGGTGGCTTGTACTCGACCGTCGTCAGGACGGTGGTCGAGTTACCGTCGACACGATTTATGCAAAACTGGTCAGGTCGTGGGTGACTTGTGCTCGGCAATTGGCTTGCGTCAGCTTCAACGGGTTCGTTCTCGTTCAAGGAATTCGTATGATTGCTGAACTGGATTCCATCACCGAGCCCGAACTCCTCACGAGCAGCTGGCAGTTTGCACAGCTCGATGATTATATCGTGGACATGTTCCTCCACGCCAAACCGCTCGTAGGCCTCAAGTTCTTGCTCGCTACTAAGTGGCTTGCGAGCAAATCGACGACCGAGCCCTTCTATTTCGGCCAGAGACGAGAATAGACGTGGTGCCTCTCCCGGCTCGGGCTGAAGATATTGACAGACGGACCTGTAGACCTCTGAGAGCTGTTCTGGGCAGTCGGTCCAATGTTCCAATCGAGTCGGGCAGTATTTTCCGGTGGGAAGAGGTATTTTCCCAGTTGTTGAGCGGGATGGTGAATCAATTCTCAGCGATCGGGAGAGAAGGACATGGCAGTGCTGAATGAGCTCCGTGAAAGTGGTCGGTCGATTGTGCTCTTCTGCCTGCCGTCTTCCTTCTGCTTCTCGCTTCTCGCGCTCTTCCGCCTGCCGCCTTCTTTCTGCTTCCTGTCGCCTTCCTTCTGCTTCCTGCCGCCTCCCTTCTGCTTCCTGCCGCCTCCCTTCTGCTTCCTGACACCGTCTCTCTTCCGCCTGCAGATAAAGAGTTCTGTAATCTGGGAAGCTGGGGTCAGCCATTGATGTGTAGTAAAGAAGAGTGATATCCTGCGACAGGCGTCGATGGGCTGTCTCCACTTGGCTGATGTCAGCTGATCCCGCTCCCGGCAAAACTATTTCCCGGAAGCAAACACGACTTGCCGATTTTCGGGGAACGAGACGCGGCCCCGATAACGCTTCCTATAGGCCACAAATGCTGTATTGATTCACTATTATGCTGACATGAATTAGTAGGAGATACCATTTCTTCCCTTAAAAAAGCATTCCGTGTCAAGACTTTTTTTGCTTTCACGTGCTCGGTCGTTCGCTATGGATAGGACCAGCAAGTGTTTTTTATCTCGGTCTCTCGCCTCCAATTCGTGCCCAGACAGAGGCAGTCCCATTACTGCCTCCAGAAGTAAGCGGGAAACCATACTTATTAGGCCTGATTAATGATACCAGTTTTATGCGCGTATTTTCTGTCGCTGTCCGTATGAATAGCGAATAGATACTCACTCGCAGTATCCAGATACAAAGATGCACATCTTCATCATCACTATCAAGGAACTGTTCACGCTCCTGCAGACGGTTCCATCCGTACTAGGAACTAATCTCTGGGCCCTGGGAGTTCTCTTGCTCCTGGGAGCCTCTAAAACGTTTGTGGGAGCCAAGAAGCAGCTCTCAAGGAGCCCCTAGCCCTACGAAGCATACGGACGGAGATGTGGTCTGCGCGGGACCCACATGGGTGCATACGATGTTGGTGGGACACCTGAATAGTCCTGCACCTCACATTGCTGCTAACCGTGGCTATGACTCGGTGCGCCCCCAGTTTTGTTCCACATATGTGTCTCCCTAAACGCGAGGAAGCTTCTCTCTATTGCTTCCTTGAGCCACGACTTGTCTAGCGTCAG